GAACTACTGTTACTCCTCATTCCACGAGTAACCATTACTCCACGAGGAGTAACGGTAGTTGGAACTAGGAAGCCTAGTTCGAACTACCTAGTTCGTGCCGCGTGTAGCCGCGCGGCACGGTGTTCGAACGAGCGGGGATTTAAAAATGGCGGAGCCCCGCTTATGCAAATGAAGCCCGGGAAATTCAAATCCCAGGCTTCATTTGCAAGTGCGGTATGCCTACATTACCCCGCTAGTTCGAACTAGCGGGGTAGTGTAGACATACCCAGAGGCAGTAACAGGGGGTGACAGGCAGCTCCCTGGGAGCTGGTGCGTGCCTGAAGCCAGTTTTTGAACTGGCTCCCCACACGTACCAGAAGCCCGTGTACTTTTCACCACCCCAGCTAGTCTTGCAATTATTGCAAGAAACTTAAGTTTGTCTATATCACTCTCTTCATTGTCCACACTCTCTGTTCTCTAGAAGTGAAGTCTTTATATCCTAAAACATAAAGTCCTTCTTGAAAAAATAGCTTATGATGATGGTTTCAGGGAAGACAAAAAATAACATGTTTATAGTACAATATTTTGAGAAGAAATTCATCCTGTTCCCATCTGGTAATCTGTTTATATTCTGATTCATCTGGATTGATAGCCTTGTAGATTTAATCATTGCTGATAAAAGAATAGATCCTCTTTACACTACTTTAAGCTATCCACTAAGAGCCTGATCCAAAGCCCATTGGAATCAATGGAATTATTTTCATTGACTTCTATAGGCTTTAATTCAGACTCTAAATTTCCAAATATTTTAGACTGTCTCACATAAAAAAGCATAATGAATTCCGTAAAAAAGAACCAGAAATTATTGTCACTGATGTTTTTATTCCTACATTAAAAGGTGATAGAGGAAAAAACCTAATGGTCATTGTTTTATGGTTTGCATTTTACATTGCCTCTCCACATAATGTCTTATCTAAGACTTTTTTTTTGCGCATGTACACAAACATTATATATTAAGCCCAAGTGTACAATTAATGATTCAAAGCTAACTCAAGTACATCAGGCAATTCAACAGTAGTTATGACAAGTTAATCTATAAACAATCTTGATTTACTATATTGAAACCGGGGTAGGCTTTTTAAACTCAAATATATAGTTTCTGAAAAGTATTTAACTTAGATTAGCCACACCTTCACTTGAGTGGAAGGATATACATGTATACAATTCCTTGTACAAATAAATTATCTGATACAGTTTGAAAATTTGCAATAACTAGAATCTGGAGAACCAGAAACTTCAGTTCAAGTTCAAGGTATTTTTAATTCAGTTGAGCTGTCCTGCTACAGCTGAGAAGAAAGTTAATGAATTATTTATATTAAATAACTCTTAGGTGTTATGTGTAGGGAGGACTCATAGTGAATGCCCTAGTGCAAACACATGTACCTAGGCGTGTAACAATTAGGGGTG